ATTCTAGGAAACTTCATGCTCATTCACAGCAAAGAATCATGCTAATGACCAGAGTAGTTTTCCAAGTGTTAATATTTGTAAATCTTTCTCCAAATATATTAACAGGTTTACATAGTTGCAGTTGAAAAGCAAAAAAATCAAAGTGATGCACACAATCACAGTTTAAAAATTGCAAATTCTGCAGAAGAAAGCTACAGAGATACATCTTCAACCAGTGGACTTCTGGACTTGGTACAGGCAGACCTTGGAACACTAAGTAAGCTCTGGCTTGCCGCACTTCACGATTTTGCTCTCTTAACTTTGCCTTCAGAATATGCATCACAACTGCCTGCTGAAGGTAAGAAGGCAAGTCAGCTGTATTTTCATAGGTCACTTGTAAGCGCACATCTTTTATGTCCTATCTGACTTGTGTTAAGATCACAAGAAGATGAGATGGCATAGAGAATTTGCGTACTTGTGTACCTCTCTAGAGACTGCTTTTGGGACAGGTGTTTTGCTGATGTGAAAAGTAGTTTGATTGATATTCTTGTTTGTTGGGTAATCTTATGGTTGATAGGAGAAAAGAAAATTGTATTGGAGTCTATCCAAATAAATGTAAATGAAATGCTCTCATTAGCCTGAGCTTATAATACTGAACATTTAAAAAAGAAGTCATATAATAAATTTGCAATTATATTTATCAATATTATGAAAAAAATTTCAATAAAAATTAGAATCCCCTTTTATAAGAATGAGAAAAATATGATAGTTGAAAATAAATTACATCCTTCAAACTGTAACTTCTCTTCTTGTAGGTGGCACATTTTATACAGCAGAGACAATTGAAAATGTCAGACCTCATTACTACAACTCCTGGGCACTGATACTTTATGCTGCAGCATTATGGCTTACTAGCACAGGTTTCATTGTTGTTGATCCAGATGAAGGAGTTAATAATCTCTCTAGACCTGTCACCCCAACTACAATGTGTCAAGATTCTTCTACCAGGCCCCTGGTTAAATCTCCTGAGGATGTGAATACTGACAGATTTCATCTTATCTTGGGTTAGTGAGTGCATAATCTGTCTAGATGCTGTAACCCAGAATGTCATTTTTAATAGATAAAACAGTTAGCAAACCAACACCTAATTTTGTACATGTAATTGCATTGTGGAATATTACATCTCTTAGAAAAGTATAGTCAGAAGAATTTAAGTCCCAGTGAGAAAATAGTAGAGCGTTTTCTCAAATATGGTAGAAAACCCACTTTGTGTGAGCTAAACAAGTGCTTACTGCTCTGCTCGTAAACATACAAGTTTAAGGGTGGATTTTGTCATGGTTGTAGCACTGCAGTTACAGAGTGTGCAGTTTAGTGTCACTGAAGTACAGTTTTACATCACAGAACAGTCTGTAGATTGGAAGGGACTTGTGGAGGTCATCTTGTCCACCACTCCTCAAGCCAGGCCACCTAAAGCCACCTGCCCATGACCATGTCCAGACAGCTTTTGAGTATCTCCATGGATGAAGACTCCACAGCCTCCCTGGGCAACCTGTGCCAGTGCTCGGTTTCTTTAAGTTCACATGAAGCTCCGTTTAAGCCTCTGCTACTGCAGAAGCTAATCAGGCAGCTGAATTCAGTCCCAGTTCTCTGAATTTACATAATTAGGCATTTCTGGTTTATTTTTTTTTCCTTTAGTCTCTTCTTTTATAATCTCTTTTTGGAAGAGGTTTATATGATGCAGATGCATATGGCTTCTTTTGAACCCCAGCCTTCCTCCAGAGAGCCAGCTTCCTTTTGATTGCCATTGCTCCCTCAGTTACACGTGTGACCTTGGATACAAAAGCTGCTCATTTCCCCTGCTTCCTGTGCTGTTGGATTAGTGCTTCAAATTTCATATACTTTAACAAGGACACCTGGCTTGTTTATTCTGCATCCAAACATATTCCACTTGTTCATTTCCACTTCCTAGAGAGAAAGTTAAAGAACTTTTAAGACCAGGGACACTTTCTGTTGCACAGCTGTTCTTCAGTGTACACTGATCAGTTTCCCGAGTCATCCCATGTTTTGGAGTTAGAGCTGTACAACTGGGATGAGACTATGGGTCACATTTATATGAAGTTTATCTCCAGTGCCATAAAATATCTTAGGAAAAGTCGTGAAAGCTCAGAAAAAACAGTGATCATTTTTATCTGCCCTAGGATTTGCAGCCTTAGGCTTCATGTCATTTACTTATTGCTGGTGATCCGGTTGTTGTACTGCAATCTTTAGCATTTTCGTGAAGTGGGAAGATCAAACTTCAGCTTTTGTGTTTGTGTGCTATTACTATTTTCTCCATTATTTCCTTCTATTACATAAGTCAGTGTGATTAGACAAATATTCTGCTCCATTCATTATTAATTCTCTGCCCATTCATTGGATATAAAGTTCAGTGTTTTACTTCGATTTTGCTCTACTTTTTTATTTATATTAATAGCCAATTAGAACTGTGTCTTATACTGCCTACAAGCTGAAGTTGTTTCATTGTTTTAAGAGAAATAGAGTTCTTGCCCCGAGAACTAGCAATAGGAGATGAATTCACTTAATAAAAAACGCAAATGCTATTTCTATGTCTGCTTGACCTACCGTTAGGTTACTTAGTAATTGACAAAATTACTTCTTAAAATTTCAAGGACATAAGGGTTTTTTCTTCTGATGCTTACAGGAATTAGTGTGGAATTTCTCTGCTCTCCTCGATCGGATGCAGCGACGGAGAACATTATTGCCTGCTTACGTGCTCTACAGACACTTTTTGATGTTCCATGGCCAAGGTCTAAAATAGGTGGTGATCAGGTAATGTCTTAATGATTAAAAGACCCCAGAAGGCTTAATTTAGCTTGAACAATATCTCTACTCTCTATTGTATATTCAGGAATATTCAATAAAAGTCATAGGTGAGTTATATGGTTTACCAAAATCCAAAGCTGTAGAGGGAAGACAGAAAAAGAGCACAATATGGAACCCATAAGAAAACCATGAGGGGCAGAGAGCTTGAAGACCTTTTGTTAGGAACGAGTGATTAAATGAGTAGGATGAGACCCAGGTAAGAACAGAATTCCAGAGAAAAAGTTCTCTTATTCTCACTATCAAATGACAGTTCAATTAATTCTGTTGTAAATACTGAAGATGATAAAACGAAATGGGGAAAAAAACAATGGTATTTAAAAAAAAGCAGAACCAAAAAAAAACACAACAGACTTCTGATCCTAAGAGGAGGTAGTAACTCCAAATTTTCTTTTTTTTTTTTTTCTTTAAGCTTTATGTCATCCTGTGTATCGTACCATTATCTAGCAGTAAAAGTGATAAAGCCTGTGGGCATGCCCAAGTTTTGCTGATTGTTTGTGCTCTCTCCAAAAAAATGCATATATTATAGGAGGTATACAGTGTAGTGTCTCCACCTTAAACAGTTAAAAAGCCTATATATAAGATAAAGACTACTTGAGATTTTTTTTTTTTAGTGGTACTCTTATCTGAATTACTGTGATAACAGATGTTGAAGAAAATGCCAGCTCAATTATACTGCATTTCCTAGTGAGTTTAACAAGAGTAATACTGTTGGCTTCAGCAAGTGTTAGCAAGTTTCTAAACTTCCTGCATTAACCAGGGGGTGTATTAAGCATTTTTGTTCCCGTAGGAGCTGGGTGTAGAGCTGCTGAATGTTTTGCATCGGCTGATCCTGACCAGAGAGTCGCCTGACGTTCAGCTGGCTGCCCTCGAAGTGGTTCGGCTGGTTCTCTTCGCAGCTCAGGAGCACGTGAAGGAGAAGCGGAGGAGTGCGGAAGGTGCAGTAATGAATGACACGTGGCATACATAGTATCAGGGTTGAAGCCGTTCTCTCTTGGAAAAATGGACTCTTGAAGGTGGTATTCCAGGATACATCTTACTTGAAGTGTTTTGCAGTTGTGGATTAGTCCTGGTTTACGTCAGTCAGTCCAGGTGACTGACATAGAAACTGGGTTTGTACGATAGACAGTGGGTGGTTTTGGTGGTGACTAGAGGGCATGAAGCAAGCAGGAAAACTGGAGAAACTGCAGTTGGCATAGTGTAACTGTGTGCTGTCGGGGGGGAAGGAGCGTTAGCGAAGAGCTGGAATCAGCTGCAGTTAGAGCAGCAAAGAAACTCCACACACACAGCTGTTACAAGCCAGACTCCACTAGTTAGTCTGATTGTAACTTCCTAAAGGTCGTTTTCTAAACAAAAAAAAACCCCATGGGACAAGAATCAAAACACTTGTATCAGGTGATACTGTGCTGGCATGGTGCCTCAGCACCCTGCGTGCCTGAATCCGTTGTACGTGCTTTTGCTTTTTGACAGTCACTGCATAGTTTGCTTCTTCAGAAGGGTGGATGCTTGTTGGTAGAACCTGAAATACATATGCATGTGCATGTATATCTATCAAGATTATCACTTGGGGATAAGTAAACTTATCTTTAAACTTTACTTAAGAAGTAAACTTGTTGGAAACAAGGTGCAGCCTACAGATTTCTGCCATATTTCTTCCGTTTGTTTTAGTTGATGATGGTGCTGCAGAAAAGGAAACGTTACCAGAATTTGGAGAAGGCAAAGATACAGGAGGACTGGTGCCTGGGAAATCGTTAGTCTTTGCAACGCTGGAGTTGTGTGTTTGTATTCTTGTCAGACAGCTTCCCCACCTCAACCCTAAATTAACTTGTAGCCCTGCGGTTCAGTCTGGAAAACATCTGTTCTTGTCAGAAGATGGAAGCAGGCTGGTAGCAGCAGCATTAGTTATTCTCTCTGATGTTCCTGCAGTCTGCTCTCCTGAAGGTATGTTGTTTCATCACAAGCAAATATTACTGAAAGAATATTGAGCTCTTCTGAGCCCCCTTGTTATTACCTAATTTTCTCGGCTGGCTAAGTCTGGCAGCAAGTTTTGTTGATTTGCTTGCAACCTTTTCCTGTTCTAATTTTTTTTTTTTTGACTGTCAGATTGCAAAACAAGTTACAAAACTGAAGCAATTAAAGGATTAGTTTTTCTTTTCCTCCCACGTGTAGCAGTGCAATTAATAGATTTCGTACAGGGAAGTATACAATAGCTACATGATTATATTCTACTTGAATTGTCTATTCTGGAATTTGTAATGCAGACATAAACTAAATTCAAAGGGGAAATCTATGTTAACTTTCACTTAAAGCCATCATTTGAACAGTGGGAAACCACTGCAAGGAGTTAGGGTTGATTTCTTACATTAGTTCAGTTTTACCCATGATTCATTTTGTGTTCACTCCAAACTTTCAGATGGTCCCCCCCACCACCCCCAATATCACATCCATATGTATGATCTTGCAGTACTGTTACAGCTACACTGATAAACCATTTCTGCCCTGCTCCTCTGTTCCCACCTTAGGTATGTTACACATGAAAATTTTTGCCTTTAGCAGCTCTGGAAGTTTCTTCTTTTTTCTTCATGTGTTCTCTGTTACAAGACTCTCCTTTGGGGGATGATATACTCCAAAAGGAATAGTAGGCAGTTCTTGCTATCATTGTAGGGTGATGATGGGATTTCTCTTTCCATCTGCAGCTTGTGATTTATCACTTCAAAGCAAAAGGAAACAAATGTCACTTAGATCTGGGGGTAACTAGCTCGCATGAAAAAAAAAAATGTGTTTTTTTTTTTTCTCCCTGTAGTTCCTCATGTATTTACTTATTGAAGTTATTCCACAGACTAACAGCCTGCAGGATCAGACCAGGTGGGATGTTTACACACCAGAAGTTAAGTATTTAAGTCGAATGACTAAAATGAGGAGCTTAACCTTGCTTACACAGTCAGCTGAATAAGGAAACATCTGCAAATGTCAGATGTGGTCTGTCTGGACTTCTGTAAAACCTTTGACATGGTGCTGCACATCCTTATCTTTAGAAGCGGAGTTATGGATTTGATGGGTGGACTGTTCAGCTGACAAGGAATTGGCTGAATGTTCATATCCAGTGGATAGTGTTCAGTGGCTCAATGTCCGGATGGAATCGGTGACAAGTTGTGTCCCTCAGGGGTCCGTCCTGTGACTGTGCTGTTTAGTATCTTCATCAATGACAAACAATGGAATCAAGTGCAACTTCAACAAGTCTGCAGATGACACCAAGCTGGGTGGTGCAGTTGACATGCCTGAGGGATGGGATGCCATTCTAGACAAGCTTGAAATGTGGATTTCATGAGATTCCACAAGGCCAAGTGCAAGGTCCTGTACATGGGCCAAAGCAATCCCTCGTATCAGTACAGGCTGAGGGATGGTGGGATTGAGAGCAGCCTTGTGGAGGAGGACTTTGGATGTACTGTTGAATAAAAAGCTGGATGTGAGCCATGCTTGTAGCCAGAAGGCCAGCCGTATCCTGGGCTGCATCAAAGGAAGCGTGGCCAGCAGATCAAGGGAGGTGATCCTGCTGCTCTACTCTGCCCTTGTGAGACCTCACCTGGAGTCCTGTGTCTGTCTCTGGACTCCTCAGCACAAGAAGGACGTGGACCTGTTGGAGCAGGTCCAGAGGAGGGCCACAAAAACGATCAGAGGGCTGGAACCCTCTCCTGTGAAGAAGGACTGAGGGAGTTGGGGTTGTACAGCCTGGAAAAGAGAATGCTCCAGGGAGACCATATTGCAGCCGTTGAGTGCTTAAAGTGGGCCTGTGAGGAAGATGAGGACAGTCTTTTTAGCAGGGCCTGTTGTGACAGAACAAGGCATTATGGTTTTAAACTAAAAGATTTAGACTAGATACAAGGAAGAAATACTTTACCGTGAGGGTAGTGAAACACTGGAACAGGTTGCCCAGAGTGGTAGTAGAAGCCCTATCCCTGGAAACATTCAAGGTCAGGTTGGACAGCACTCTAAGCAACCTGTCTCCAATATGTGCAGAATTCTGTATTACTGTTAGAAGCAAAGGCATAAGAATTAGCAAAACTGCTATGCCGAGTTATTGCTGGAGTTCTTTATTTTTTTTTTAATAGTGTCTTATCCTGACAGATCAACTATCAGATCCTCAGGTTGAGAAGATCTGTTTAATAGGCTTTAGGACAATCCACTTGGGCCGCCTCTTTTCCAAAATATTTGAGTTTTTTATTCTAATTCTAGGAATTTTTGTTACACATTTTTGGTCTGAGATCCTCTTCTTATTAATCTTACTAAATTCTTGACTTTAGTGCTTCTCTGGAGCAGATACTCACACACCATGTTGGAGAAGTATTTTCTCTTACTAGTTTTGAAATTACCCTGTTCATTTCCTTCACTGTATTGTCTTCAGTGGAAAATATGTTTAGATGCTCAAAATTTTCTTATTCAGTGCTTTGTACACTTCTACAGCTTCTATTCTTCTTCTCATCAGTGGTTCTGATCTTTCTGTTGTTACTTTTCTCTGAACAAGACACAATTCCACACTTCCTTGATTTTATTATATGAAAAGTTAGACAATGCTAATTTAAAAGAAGATTTAACTTCACTTAAACAGTGTGACTCCATGTTTGCTGTAGCAAATCACATGACATTTCAAATCCTTCAAATTGCTAGTGTCTCTATGCACACAGGTAATTAAAAATTTAATAAGTTATAAAGAGAATCCAAGAAAACCACTCCAATTTTTTTTTTAATGTAAAAGGTACCGGAGGTTTTTAACTTTTGTAAAACTAATTTGCTTTGTTTTACAGGAAGTATTTCAGTTCTTCCTACTATCTTGTACCTAATTATTGGAGTACTTAAAGAAACTGCTGTGAAATTGCAAGACGGCCAGTTGCCTTTGACAGTCGCTGCGTCTCTACAAGCCCTTAAAGGACTCTTGTCCTCTCCAATGGCTCGCGCAGAGAAGAGCCGGACTGCTTGGACCCATCTTCTGCGTAGTGCTTTGGTCACAGTGCTCGACTGTTGGGATCAAGGTAAGATCAGGTTTTGGGTTCGTGTGTTTAAAAAAACAACAAAAATTAAGTTCATGCACATCCTAAAAAGAGACTAATATCTTGGTCGCAGGAGAATTAGCTACCAAGTACTGTTGAAACTGTAGTGCAGCCTTGAGCCCGCCGTTGGCAGGAGAAGGCGTCGCCTGTAACGGTGACAATGTGGGGCTCGAGGCTTAGCCCCGTGTCGCGCCGTGCCACGGTGGAGTAAACAGGAGGTGTGGCTTCAGTGTACAACTGAGTGTAAAAGAGCTGTAATGCATGTAGGTTCTCCACAAAGAATTAGTGTCTGTATTGAAAGAAAGGGTATTAAAACAGCAGTTCAATAGAAAAAAAACCAAATCTGTCTTAAGGTTAGTTTTCTTCGTGCTGCTTCTTTAGCTTCCCAAGTTTGTAGTATTTTTCATCATTCCTTACATTTAACCTCTAAAGTTGTAATTTATTGTTGGAAATTTTGTTCATAGTGCTGATTTTTTAGGTTATAGCAGAAGAATATATGTTCTTTATGAAAATTCTCACAATAGGTTGTACCCTAATATGTCATATTAGCTCTTCAAAGATATTTCTTGTACTTTATACAGAGAAATAATGGAACAGAAGGATGCTGTTGTTTCTAAATATGCATATAACCATCCCTGAATTCCCATTTTAGCTTTGGCTTTTATTAGAGTAAAAGCCCATATCAGTACATCAGAGTTTGTCTTGCGTTTGAGTAAAGAGATTCCTAAAGAAATGTAGGCATTGATATTTCTGTTCTGCCTCCTTGTAACACTTGAATTCATAGAATTACTTTTTAAGGCAAATCTAACAGACTGCTTACTTCTTTGATAGCAGATGGGCTCCCCCAAGAAGTTGATGAAGTTAGTCTGCTTACTGCTATCACAGTATTTGTTATGTCCACCAGTCCAGAAGTTACTACCATAGAGTGCCTTCAAAAGCGTTCTATTGAGAAGTTTAAAATGACACTTGACTCAAAAGATCCTCTTGTAAGTACTGGTGAAGTTATAAGAGTATCAGCATCATATTAAATGGATTTTAGCTTATTTTCTGTTCAGTTGTTTCACTTGTCCTTTGTCTTACTTCCTGTTAATTCTGTCCTGATGAGATTTGTTGTATTTTAAAATACAGTTAAAACAAGAAAAACAACATACCAGGGAAAAAAGTATTTGTTATTGCAAATACAAATTGCTTTTCTAGGAGTTGGGACTTTCTTACTCTGAAAGGCCAGCTCTGAAAATAAATACACTACACTTCATGTTTGACTGTGAGAATGCACTGTAAACTGCTTTTCTTGCATCTTCTCTGTATATATCCCTGTAGTAACAACAAATTAAACAAAGGTACCTTTACTCGGGAAATAGCTGTAAGGAAGTACTTGTATTAATATATTAATACATTTCTAGTATTACAAACATTGGTTTCCACTGATAGGAAATTGAGTATGCCAAGTATGACTGCAAGAAAATGATGGAATGAATTTGCAAGTTTTACCCAAGCGTTTAGGCATCTGAGCCTTTCAGAAAGGTCTGTAGGAACTTGACAGTTTCAGTTGTATTGACTTCTAATGATGTGCAAGCTACTGCACTGTTTGAGGCTTTTTAAAATTGTCCCTACTGTTTAACAGAGGTAATGCTTACTCCTTAAGCACCTATTTTCAGTCATCTGTATTTTTGCAAAAAAAGATAATATTTTCAAAAACTATTAAGACATAGTCTTCACACAAACAGTATTTTTTCCCTAACTAGAAAATGCAGGAGGACGTAGGACTTGTTGGAAAGAAACAGGAAACACTGTCTAGTTTCTCGTAACAATTTGGTTATGAGTTACAATGCTCCTATAAAGCATTCTGCATTAGCAGCCTGCAACCTGATGAATTTTCAAGCTGTGAGGCACGTATTTGATCCTCACTAAAATTTTATCTGACAAGCTGTGAGTTATAAAACACTGACCCAGATCTCTAACACTTTGTAACTGGAAATTTGTTGGTTTTGTTTTGTTTTTTCCTTTAGGTACAGTATAAGTGCTACCAGCTGCTGCACTCCATTTTTCAACATCCAAACAAAACTGTGTCATATCCTTATATTCATTCTTTAGCACCATCCATTGTGGGAAAATTGCAGGAAACAGAAAAAGCAAAACCTGAAAATGCTGCTGAACTTCAAGTAATTCAGGAGGGAATAAAGGTGGTTACAGCTCTTACAGTCGCTGCTGATGAAGAGCACCGTAAGTTACTTCATAGCTAGCATTAGACATGCCCAAACGTGCCATAAGTAACAAATGAAAACAAAACAGCCACAAGGTATCCAGTCCTTAACTAATTGCTAAGAATAGTATTGCTTCTTTTTGTTACCATACAGATCAAATAACATTTGCAGCTTTATAGTTTGTGTTAAATGTTAACTTGAAGAAATAACTCCAGTTAGAAATTGAAGCTGTTTTTAAAAAGTGTTTGTTTAAATTGTGTTTTCAATGCTTATAGGTGCTCATTTGGTCGCCTGCCTTCTTCCCATCCTTATTTCCTTTCTTTTGGATGAAAATGCCCTGGTTTCTGCCACAAACTCAGCAAAAAATTTACATGAATTTGCTTTGCAAAATCTGATGCAGATCGGTCCACAATACTCATCAGTTTTTAAAAAACTAATGGCTTCCTCTCCAAGTATGAAAGCCAGGCTCGAGTCAGCTGTAAAAGGCAATCAAGAAAGCATCAAAGTGAAGACTGTTAAACATGCAAGGAATCCTGGGAAAAGTTCAAGTATTCAGCTAAAGACCAATTTTCTTTGAAGTCTTGTATTGTCATTTTTATGCACTTTGATAACAAAAGCAAAAATTGTCCCTTTTAGTTTCTAACCAGAATAGTATTGCTATGAGTTTATCTCATATATATCACTTTGCACTCAAGTATTACAGAATACATTTAAGAGAAGACATCTCTAGACAACTTTCTGTTAGTGTAACACTTCTTAAACATCTCTAAACGCCGTGAATAAATTTATCAGAGGTTATCTAATCTGTATTTTTTTATTATTTTGAACTAAAAATCCAGAAATCACATGCCTATATTAAAAAAGTATAGTGAACTTTACCATAGATATATTTAGGAGCAGCCATTAAGTAAAATGAACCTTGATTTAAATCAACATTTGTCAAAAATAAGTTACCCTAAAGATTTTTTGGGATTTAACCAGGACATAAATTTACATGCAGGTTGTAACCTATCCTAATTACTAATTTAACGCACTGCATCCTTAGGTAAACAGATCAAACATCCTTGTAAGCCTTACAGTAGATTACTGTTGGTCTGAAGCGGTCCAGCTGGTTTAAGGTAATGCTGACAGCTTTAAGGGGGTGACGCCTGGAGCTGGCCCAGGTCTGACGGGCTGTGGGAGGCGCGCTCGCCCGGGGCGCCGCG